AAGATCAAAACGGCCTAGCTGAGATTTTTAGCTTTCCAACGACTACTTTTAGTCCCAAAAATTCAAACTGTTTGTGCTGTTTATGGGTAATTTTTGGCACTCAGAACACTTCTTTGTCGCCCTCTAATGAAATGGCCAGACAAAGCTTTAAAATCAACTTTCCAACTTTTAACGGGATTTTACCCAGCTATTGTCTAAAAAGGAGTTTCATCTATCATATGTTAACGTGAATTGTTATTAGTTGTAGAGAAAACGGTGCAAAAGGAAAAACTTTCGGTTATTTTCTCGCTTGAAAAATTAAAGTTGCAAATTCTATGTCCTGTGACTGTATAGAATGCTGCCATGATGATCATTTTGTTTTATTTCTGATACTCACCGAATGCAACCTGGGGTCTTTTTGGTTATAGCCCCCCTAAATGATGAAAAAAGAAAATAGAATACTCTTGTTTAAAAATTCGATCGATATTGCTACGACAACACAAGGCTGATATCCAGAGCCTTGACTTAACTTGAAAAACTGCAAAAATATGAATTAAACGGCAATTTAGAAAGCATTTGGACTCATATTTGTAAAATTTGTCTGAAGAAAACGGCAAAAAAAAACAAGAAAAAAGATGTGTTTCAGGTTAAATTAGATGTAAATTGCTACGTTTTGTTATGCATCTATTGATATCTAGCCCTTTATAGTATTATTGGTCAAATTTTGCAACAAAAAAGGTTTATTAGACTTTTCATCATTTAGAGGGTAGAACCGGAAAGACCCGAAACCTGTACACAGACCGACAATTTATGAGCTCTTCTATTGATTAATTCATGTATATAGCCTTACATATTCCATTAAAATTAAGATTATTTACTTGATTATATATTGTTGCTACGATACTCTTTCAGGGGCGGATCTAGGATTTTCTCGAGGGGAGGGGGCGGATTTTCAAAAAATTTTCGAAATTTTGTCGACTTTTTTTTAGGTCAAACAAATTAATTTTTCGAACGCTCCAAGCACACTATAAAGACCCTATTTTGACACAAAATCTAGAAAAAGTAAAATTTGCGCGCTTCCCGAAAACTTTAAAAAAAATTGACGCCAAAAGCACCTTTAGAAAAACTTTAGGGTTGGTCCGCCGAAGATGGATGTCATAAAATACTGCCGAGGGGGGTACCCTTTCGTTAGTGAGGGTTCGAATTCCTGAGGGAGGAAGGGTTCGCCCCCACTAAACCCGGCCCTCAACCCAACGGTTTTTTTTAATCAATTGACCATTCATTGGGTATTTATTTTATCCAATTCAGCCCAAACTTGAAAACAGTTGAAATATAAACTCTTTGCCAAGTTTTTTTGCACCAATGATAAAAAGATACTTGTCTTATTTTGCAAGACAAACATATTATTCCTCGTTTTTGTCTTTACAGGCATACCTAAATGTTTGTCGAGTTTTTTAAACCAAAATTAAATTTTTGGCACTTTTAATTTACAAAAAAGACGTTACTCTTTTGAGCTGCAAAACCCTTGAAAGCATTGAAACCCCCCCTAAATCCGCCCCCGCTCATTTTGCAATATATATTCTTTTTGTTTTGATGAAACTTTTAACGGCGCTTCAGATAATTTTTTTGTAATTCTATTTAAAAATCAATATCTCCAAATGAGTGGAAACTTCATGTGAATATAACTGATTTTTTTTATAACTGATAACTGAAAGTATTAGCAGCTATTCAAAAAAGTTTGATATGAGTTGTTGAAGTAACTTCTCAGTCTCAATTTGTAATATGCAATTCCAGAAAATTAAAGACGGTTGCTTTAAAAAATTAAATTGGAATATTTATTTTCATCAAATATCTTTTTGTGAGTTTTTCTAATAGGTGACGGGGTTCTTTTTCCTTGCCCCCCGCACCTCACATGAGCATCATTTTTATGGTCTAACGAGTGATTTTACAAAGTTAATTTTGAAAACCAAATATGCTTGCCATATCCTAATTTATTAGCATGTAAATTTTCATGACAATCGGACAATGCGAACAGCAGTTTTAATTATTAAAAAGTACAGGTAGGGGAAAAGGAAAAACAGCCGGTGACAGGTTTAGGGCTAGGGACGTACTAGTCTCAGGCTCGTCTTTGAATGGACACCAACTTACTCGTGTGGGTTTCGATCCGAAAACTTCGGATTGCCAAGTGAGTGTGCTTGTTGCCACACAAATAACCTGCCATAAGCGAGAATATAGAGGGGATTAAATGAAGCAGAAATAAGACCAGTCGTCCGAGCGGTCTAGAATGAAGCCTACAAATTGAGCAGACCGGTTCAGTGTCGGAACGAGTCCCAAAAAATCAATATTTCTGGCCCTAACCAAAATGTATACATAAACAAAACTAATCATGAAACTTACAAAAATGACCAGGTCTGCATATGATTTACCGTGTTACAGTGTATCACAAAAAGCTGCTAATGTTAACAGGGTCTAGCCGTGAATGAGCTGATTTGTTTGAAGTGTTTTAAGAGTCATTTAAACGTTTACAAATACAAGTTCTGCGATTTAAGCTCTTACCAGAGTAATTTCAATTTGGTATGTCTTTGACGCTTTTTTATGAGATATTAAGGATTTTGAGTTGAGCGCGGTCAAGTTTTAGGTATTGCGACCCAGTAAAAAACAGCACATATAGTTTCAGCACAGTAACATAGAAAATTTGAAACTGGAGAATCGTACCGAGACTTCATACGACCATCGAATGAATTCTTTGACAATCGGTAAAAATCAAAAAATATTAATATCGATGACTGCAATATTTAATCCCAGCCTAGACCAAAAGACCAGAGCGACTGCCTGCGCAGCTGTTTGCATTGATTTAGGCGCAGTAGTTTTCTCTGCGGTGATGAACACAGTCCAATCGGATTCTCTGGAGCTTTTTTGAAATCTCTGAAGTGGTTTCTCGTGGACTTCCTGAGGTTTGGTTTCTCTCGTGAGTTCTCTGGAGTTTGATAGATCGCTGGATTGGAATCTCTAGAATTTGGTGGATCTCCTGTTTGGAAACTGCAAACGCGTGACCCAGCTCAACAAAAATACGAAGGATTTTTTTGTCGTTGCGTGCTAACTATTTATAAAAATTGTTGTCAAGGTACATCACTAAAAACAGATGGCAATTTTGTAAAACCTCGGTATTGACCCAATTCAAGCAAGAAAAGCTGAAATATCATAACAATTTTTTGTGAATAACACAAAATTGTAAAATTTTTGAAGATTTGGTTCAACTAATGTTGTGCTCCAGTGTCGTGCTTAAATGTCGTGCCTAAATAATTAAACTAAAGTCGTGCTCCAGTGGCTTCATTCGTCATCGAAGCAACCAGTTTTTGCCGCAAACCGAGTGAGCGATTTTTTGGAGTCACAACCGTAGACGTCGTGCTCCAGTGGCCCCATTTGTCATCGAAGCAACCAGTTTTGTCGCAAACCGTGTGGACAAATTTCTTGAAGTCACAACAGTAGACGAGTGGTATCATTATGACACCGGAAAAAAATCCCGCAGACAAGTGCATCCGAGGTTTTGCCGCCGAAGCTTTAAAAGACAGCTGGTGCCAAGGTCTAAGCTTCCTAAAAAGCCGTGACTGGCCTTCTGTCCGAATGTTGAGGCAGTCACCAAAGAAAGACTCCAAGGTCCGGTTGACAATGTAGATACCGCATCAAATTTCGTCGCAAATTCGGCACCAATTTAATACAGGTCGTTTGTAAAGCTGTTACGCACGTAGCATTCATCCTCAGATTAAATCCTGCATTCTTAATTCAAAAAGGCAGCAAAATTTATGTCGGTTTTTTTGATTGCCTAATTTGTGGAAAAACACGTTCATTTTGCTGAAAGCCATTGACCTGAAACTGTTTTTTTGATAACTATGTATTTAAAAATTTACGCTAATACTCGTAAGTTCTCGATAAAAATGGAATCGCTCCTGATTATTTTCGATCAATCAATTCGCCATGCCAACCAGCAAGTTTATGACACCATGGTAACGGGTACAAAGAATATGCAAAAATTGGTTTCAGATCTTGAAAATATTGTGCTTGATATGAACGAGAGGAGAGACTGAGGGAGATTGAAAAGGTTTGCTTGATCAACAAGACTTGATTATTGCGAGAATGCATTTTTTACAAGAGCATGGAAAGCGTATCGCTTTCTGCCAAATTTTGAAAAGCTTCTCAGAAATGTATGCCTAGTGTGATTGTTAAGTTTGTGATTTTGAAGGATTAAAAAACCGTCAAAAAAATCGAAAAGATTACCAGAAAAATAAAATCTTAAACATTACCTGACGACGTTTTCATTAATTAAAGGTTGCTGCAGCTAGAAGCAAACATACGAACAAGATAGCAAGTCTAAGCTATATTATAATAACGAAAGGGTGCTTAGTATCAGTAAGTTGCAATAAACATGGTGGGTATCCAAGCTATATGCCAGTTAAAAACCTGAACCAGTTGCCAAAATTGAAAACCCCGATTTGCAAAATTTGATACTAGATCAAGGGAGAGGTGAACGGTACAAACAAAAAAAACCCTCTGCAGCCTTCAGAGTCAAAGAAAATAACATCCGTCGCCAAGCAATTTTTCTGCCTAATCAAACGCAACAAGCATTGAAGAAGGTAAAATAAACTGATGTGAGCTAAAAAAAAAAACTAAGATTTCAAACTCATCATGAAATGCTTTTCTGCCAAAAAGAAGTTTTTTATTCTAAACTTTGAGAAAACTATACTAATTTCTGGCATATATACGCAAAACAAAGTTTTGTTCTTTTGGGTTTCTGCTCTTTTTTCTTGAGGATTTGTTGTTGATTCTGATGCGGTGTCATAGTTTATTTTAAAATGGAAATTAGAAATTTAGACTAAAAAGACTTTGCCGTAAATGTCTTCTTTAAATAAATTTCTATCGGTTAGCAAACAAAATAGCAAAAAAAGATTTTTTAAGTGGCCATCTTGTGCTTCTCAAAAAACAACTGGGGCAGCGAATTCAAAAAGAAAGTTCAATTTTTTTTTCTTATTAAATCAACTTTAGAAAATCAAGGCTGGGGATTCGATTTCAAGCATTTCAATATCTTGCATGGAATTATCCATAGAAATTCTCCATATAAATCTCGAGGTTCTCAAAAAAGCTGGTTAATTGAGCAAATAAACCAATTTGTGTTTTAATTTTCCGCTTCATTTATCGCTTTTAATGTAAGAGGCGAACTCGCAAACTTCGAACAAGAGTTGGAAACTGGTATGCAATTTTTCGTGGCGCCTTTTTGAGATATTAAGAAATTTGGCTTTCTTGAGAAAAGTCAAACTGGACTTCTAGGAATCAAGCTATGCAGTTTTTTTCCGGCCATGTTCACAGTTGCCTCGCTTCTGAAAAAAACATAAGTGAAGAAAAGCAATTTCATGCAACTTTTGCTTAGCGTCCTGATAGGAAAAACTGAGTTTAACTTCTGATTCTGCACTCCAAGAGTTTTCTGTTGCAATTTGTTGCTGCACCACACTCGGTTTGGAAAATAAAAAAAAACAGAACATCAGAATTTTTTTTTTGAATTTGCTTGTCTTGTTGTTTCGTCTCCACTCAATTCAAATGTGATATCACCACTCTTCTAAATAAATACATCAGATCTTACTTACCAAAAGAAAAAAAAATGGCAAAACCAAATTTTCGATTCAGAAGCTATCTAGGACACTACTAAACAAAAACTGAGACCTAACAACTTTTCGTTGCAGAAGATTAGCTCAAAAAATTACAATTTCGGTGAGTTCGTAGGTATGCTGAGCACCAATTCGCAGCCCTCTGTTTTCGCATTTACAGTTACTTGGCCCAATGCGGACGTCAAATTAGGTCTATTTTTGTCAAAAAAAACATTGCCCTATCAGGACGAAAAAAATATTACAGACAAGAGGAGGAATTGCCACACTCGTTTCTAAAAAATCAGAGATCAAAAAATTTAAATGATGAGATCAAAAACCAATCAGCAAGCCCCAAAAAAAATATCTCTCACGTGCTCAATTTACTGCCGTCTGCAAATCTAGTTTACCTAAAAAATCGAAGCACTAAGTATGCGTAGGAAACTAAGGCGACTGAAGTTTGCAGCATACTCAAAAAATGTAGAGCAAAGGAGAGTTAAGAAGCCAGTGAAATTAGCATTTTCCTGATGAAGAAAGAAGAATCCCGTAGTTTGCGAGTGGATATCAACTGTACTCACAAAATCACTGTTTAAAAGCAATTTTCCTTACTGATACAATTTTCATAAATGAAAAATTTTTTTCTAGAAAAACATTCAATCAGAGCAAGAATCTAGCAGTTTATGAAAAATGTTTTTAAGCAGTTTAGAGAACGATAATAATAAAATGAAAGCATTGTTTTGCTTCTCTGATAAACTTCGAAAAGACTAAAATTAAGGAGCCTAATGACAAAAACAGAAACTGTAGGTTCTTCATTAAAAACGGAGCTGAAAAAGCTTTATTTCCGACAAATACATTCCGAAATCTCAGAAAAAAATTGTTTCGGTAAAAAAACGCCTCTTATTAAAAAAGGGGCATTTGTTGCCGCTCAACGGCATTCAATTCACAGAAACTTGAAAAAAAAACACTTGAAACAGAGAAAAATAAATAAGCCTGGGTTAAATTACTTCAATGCAAAACCAAGGCATCTCACTATCGAAATCTAAAAGAATCAATAAAGAAAAACCCGTATGAAAAACTCAAATAATGAAACAAAAAACAAAACAATCAGCAATCTACAAAAAAACTATCCCTCACATGATCAATTTGCTGCTGTCTGCAAATCTAGCTTAAATAAAAAAATCAAAGCACAAAGTATGCGTAAGAAAGCAAGGCGAATGAAGTTTGCAGCATAATCAAAAAATTCAAAACCAAAGAGAGTCATAAATGAAAAAAAAAGAATATCCTGATGAAGAATAAAAATCCCGTAGTTTGCAAATGGATAACAATCCTGTTCAGCAATTTTTCCTACTGTTACAGTTTTCCTAACTGATGGAACTTTTTGCTACAAATAGTTTTAATCAGAGCAAGAACCTAACAAATTATGAAAAAAGAATTTAAACAATTTAGTGAATACTAATTTTGTAATGATGCGAATGGTTGGTTCTGGAATAGTTTTCCAAAAATTAGAGCGACTAGTTTACAAGAGCATAAGGACATTAATGGAAACTGGAAGTTCTGCATTGAAAACGGAGCTGCAGCTTCTCTATTTCCGACAAAAAAAACATTCCAAAACCTCAGAAAAAGCCGTTTTGATAGAAAAACGCCTCGTATCAGTTTGATAGAAAAACGCCTCGTAAAAAGAGTTTTTACTGCCCCTTAACGGCATTCAATCCAGGGAAACTAAAAATTATCCCTGAAAACACGTCAAAACAAATAAGCCTGAGTTAATTTAGCTTAATGCAAAACCAAGACACCTCACAATCGCCATCGAAAACAATCATTTACAAAACCAGTATAAAAAGTTCAAATAGTGAACTTAAAAACAAACTAAATAGCAAACTACAGAAAAAAACTATTCCTCACCTGATCAATTTGCTGTCTGCAAAACTAGCTTACATAAAAAACCAAACCACGAAGTATGTGTGTGAAATTTGCAGCATAATCAAAAGATTTATAGCTAAGAAAAGTCAAGACATAAAGGAAAAAATGCAACTTCCTGATGAAGAAAAAATAATCCCGTAGTTTGCGAATGGATATCAATCCTATTCACAAAATCATAAATTGAAAGCAGTTTTCTTTACTGATACAATTTTGCTACCTGAAGGAACTTTTTCTCACAAATACGTGTAATCAGAAAAAGAACCTAGCAAAGTATGAAAAACATTTTTAAAGAGTTTAGTGAACACTAATTTTAAAATGAACGCAAATCATTGGTTCTGGTAAATAGTTGCTATGAATTAGGGCAACTAACTTACAAGAGCCTAAGGACATAAATGGAAACATGGAAACTGAAGGTTCTTCCTTGAAATTTGAGCTGGAGGTTTTCTATTTCCGACAAATACATTCCGAAACCTCCGACAATACATTCCGAATTTTTTTTGTTAGAAAAACGTCTCGTATCAAAACAAGAGTGTTTACTGCCGCTTAAAGGCATTCAATTGATAGAAACTAAAAATAACACTTGAAACAGAGCATAATAGATGAGCGTGGGCTCAGTTAGGTTTTTGCAAAACCAATGCATCTCACTATTGCAATCAAAAAACAATGAAACACGAAACCAGAATGGAAAAATTAAATGATGAAATAAAAAACAAAACAATCAGCAAACTACAAAAAAAATCTGTCAAGTGAAGAGTTTACTGCTGCCTGTAAATCTAGCTGACACAAAAACCAAAGCACAATGTATGCATAAGAAACTAGTGCGACTGATGTTCGCAGCATAATCAAAAATTTTAAAACCATGGAGAGTCAAGACATGAAAAAAATAATTTCCTGATGAAGAAAAAAGAACCCAGTAATTTGCAAATGGATACCAACCTCATTTAAAAAATCTCATTTAAAAGGATTTTTCCTGACTGAAAGATTTTTCCTGTCCTACAAAGATTTTTAATCAGTGCAAGAACCTGGCAAAAAATGAAAAAAATAATTTTAAACATCTTAGTGGACGATAACTTTAATCGAACGCAAACTATGGGTTCTGGAACAAACTCGCAAAATTAATGCGACTAAATTACAACAGCCTAAAGATACAAATTGAAACTGGAGGTTCTTGATTGAAAGCGGAGCTGGAGGTTCTCTATTTCCCCGTGGATAAATGGTCCTAATTAGCAAAAATTTCCGACAAATACATTCCAAAACCTCAGAAAAAAGTTGTTCCGTTGTTACGCATCAAAAAAGAGGCTTTATTCCAAGGAAACATAAGCAACACTTGAAACACATTAAACTGATTGAGCCTTGGTTAATCTAGTTTTTTAGAAAACCAAGGCATTTCACTATCGCAATCGAAAACACTCATTTGTAAAACCAGAATGAAAAACTCAAAATTACAATTAAATTGAACTGCAGTTTATAATAAATCGAAAATCCTTGCGCAAAAAAAAATTATTTGAGTGAGATCGTTTTTTTGAAGGTAGAGATGAGACTGCCTGAAAGCATATTGTTCAACTTGAAAAGAATTTTGCCTTCTAAGCTCACAAAAGAGACTCGGTTAACTAATTTAACTCGATTTACTAATTAATTTGAAAGGTCTAAGCAAGGTTTCGGTTTATGCTTTCGTGATTTTTTTTCAATAATAACATCCTGGGCTTTAATTTTCATGGCTACTATAGGACAAATAATTCTCTTTAAGAGGCCAATCGGCGCTAGCGACAACGGGTCCACAGGCGACAATAAATTCCAGGCGCGAACATATTTCTCCTGATGAGTCCATTCGTCTCTAGCATAGGCGAAAAGCAACCGCTTTCAAAAGTCAACAGTTAACCGCGAAGAGCAACTTGCCCTAATACTTATATCACCATCAAAAACCATTAAAAAATGGTTTGCATATCAACCAATGCATATCAACCAAACGGTCATGGCGCGACAATCGATAAAGAAGCGTTGACGGATTATCAAGTTCACAAAGTTGGAGTACAGTTAGATTTAAAAAGCTCGAGGAACATGAAGTTCCAGCTAACAAACCTTTTGGTTTTTGCAGTAAATGATGCAAAGTTGAAGCAATGACTAAAATATTTGATTGTATGAGGCTCCTAATGAGCAACAAAAATACATTGGCTTGTACAAGGTCTGATCTTTCGAAAGTTTTTTGAGGGCATGATTATACACAAAAAAACTTCTAACCAAGATAGAAGTTTGTAGTTTTGTAATCATTTTTTTTTTATTTTCACAGAGAGTTTTTATATAATTTTGTATTCAGGGCTTTTTTTGCAGACCGTGCGCAAAATTCCTTGCCAAAGTTTCTAGGTAAAAAGTCAAATTTAACCTGGAGAATTATTGCCCAATCACATAAAATTTGTTTTTGTTTCCGAAAAACTGAACAATATAACCATGTCATTTAAAAAAGGATATTAAACGCGGAAC